GATTAATAAACTCAAATGATTATAAATCAAACACATTTAAGACCTATAAGTTGTACTCCTCCCTTTTAACTGTTTTAACAGTTTCTCATTGAAATTATATGAACAATCACGTTAATTTTTTTAATACTTTTTAATAACTCTAGATCCACAACACAAAAAACTAGAGGTGTATGGGTATCGAGTCTTAAGGCTAATTGCTGGAACTTCCTGTACCGTAACGAATTTTTCGAGGAACATTAACTGTTTTCAAATAGATTATTATAAATAAATACAATAACATTGTCTCATATTTATAAGAATTATATAAACTGAATTGAAAAGTTATAGTAAAATTATTTATTTAAAGTATATAAGTGAGCTTTAAAACTTTAGCAATAATTAAAATTAAAATCTGAATTATTTTCGATATACATTTTTTAACTTCCCGTAGGGTAAGTTATAGTAATCGCAAAAAAATCGAAAATGAAAATTTTTGCATTTCTCGACGATTCAAAACCTTCTGAACATTTTGGCATACCTTAGAAAAAATGGATGTATGTGTGTGTGTGTGTGTGTATGTATGTATGTATGTATGTATGTATGTATGTGTGTGTATGTATGTGCGGATACAAATTTTCGTCGACGAATTTGGGAACACGGATCAACCGATTTGAATAATTCAAAAAACATTCGATTCGTATTGATAAGGAGACGTGCTGATTAGTTTTTGGCAAAGGCAGGTCTAGCCGTTCCGAAGATACGGGGCAAAAAGTGCCAAGAACGGTACCTCCGTTTTTAAGAGAACGGAGCGTCCGATTTGAATAATTCAAAAAACATTTTACTTGTATTGACAAGATGTAGAATTGATCAAATTTTCATGGAGGCAGGTCTAGCGGTTTTGGAGATCTAATGAAAAAAGTAAAAAATAATGCCATTCGGCGGTTAAAAATTATCATTAGACATATGCACATCAAATTATCAGATATTTTATAGAGATTTTAACAATAAGTATATTTTTTTTTACATTTTTATGGGTTCCGTACCAATGCTTTTGCGTTAGACGGCGGCGTGGCACATGCGCGCTTTGACATTTAGTCTCTATGCAGTTCAAGCAGTGCGATTGCTTTGAAAAAAAGTTCAGAATTTCCAAAATATGTCAAAATGAAGAAAACATTTTTTTCAAAAAAATTTTTTGTATCCAATATTTTTTCATATAAATTTTTTTTTTCAAAAAAAAGTAATTTTTTGTCAAATTTATAGTTTCTCAGAAATCTTATTTTTTTTAATTAATTTTTTTTCAAAAATGTTAATCGTTTTTAAAAAAATAATAATTTTTGGTACGGGAAGTTTCAGCAATTTGCCTCAAGGCACGATGCCCTAATTGCCTTAAGACAGAATTCCACTTACAGCTAGTTTTTATTTTCAAAAGCAATTATTTCGTCAACACAAGTTGTTGACAACGCAGAAAGTTTTTTGAATCATTGAAATCGGATACTTAGTTCTCTCAAAAACTACCATTTTTTGAAACGGCTGGACCTGCCTTTGCCAAAAGCTAATCAGCATATTTTCCTATTAATAGAAATCGAATGTTTTTTGAACCATTTATATCGGTTGATCCGTGCGCCCGAAAACGTGAACAAAAAAATGCAGATATACAACATACACACACCTTTTTTTTGTACATTTAGCTCCGAATCTTTGAAACGGCTGGGCCTGCCTTTGCCAAAAGCTAATCAGCATATCTCCCTATCAATAGAAATCGAATGTTTTTGAACCATTTATATCGGTTGATCCGTGCGTCCGAAAACGTGAAAAAAAATCGGATATACAACATACACACACCTACATGATTCCACTAATGTACCATTAGTGAGAGATGTTATAACAATTGTCTCTGAAAGATTTTATACTAATTGTTTATTTAACTTAAATCCTAATATATGTAATATTGGATAGAATGACAATACATATTGGTACAATAAGTACAAGCTACCATCATCAATAAAAAGATAATCAAGTATAAAATATGGCAAAGATCAAATTACTCTTAAACTATTCCTACCCTACAGCATATGTTATTAGTCTTTTGACTATTTTCCAATCGTATATGTAATATGTATCATTTTGTTATTATTATTGTAAATATGGTTTTTAGTGATTATTTTTACCATGATTAAAAATTTATTTATAAGTTAATTTATTTTTATTAGTTATTATTAAATATAAGTTTATGTATTTATATCTTAGGATAGTTATACATGATTATATAAATTGTATAGAAATGTGTATGTATAATCTAATATAAATGAAATAAATAAATCTTTTAAAAACATACACACACCCATCCATTTTTTTCTGAGGTATGCCAAAATGTTCTGAAACCTTCAAAGTGTAAAGATGTGCAAAAATTTTCATTTTCGATTATCGGCCCTTTACTATAACTAACCGTAGGAAGTTAATTAGAGATAATCTAAATGCGCATAAAAAACAATTATTTTGAAGATTGAGGAGATTCGCGGGTGCTCATAATCAAATTGTTTTGTCTTCTATCGTTGTCGCACTAACAAACTATTTTTAAAATTTCATTTTCAATCCAAACTTTTTAGGACACCAAAAATTTCCAGTAAGTTCATTATTGTTTGCAAGAATATTTTTAAAGTTTTAAAACATTTTGCTCACTTATTTTGGGCAATTTATGCCATTTTCATTCAATTGAGCAAATCATGCCAAGAAAGCAAAAAAAAGACCTAGTTTTTCATTGTCAAACATAACTCGTACTTCATGTTGGATTTTTTCAATTTAATTTTTCATTATTTAAAATATTTGGATATTTGCATCGTAAACTTTTCCTAATTGATATTGTAAGGCCCGAATTGTGTGTATGTATTCATCTTTCCCATTGTGTATCAGACTGTTGTTTTAAAGTTAAGTTTTTAACGTTATTTAATAATATTGTCCAAATTAACCTCTACATATATTTTTGTTTCAAGCTCTAATTTAGGGATTATAAAACATAACTAAATTACATAGTGATGGATATATGGTAGTTTTTAAACGTGATCGATTTTTATTATATTTGATATTATATATATATATATATATATATATATATATATATATACAGTGGCTGCGCTAGACCATGCGTGGGCGTCGGCGAAATTCGTTGCGAGGCCCCCCTTTTTTACCAGTTGCAAGTTGACTAGTGCTGCAGGGCATCGTGCCTTAAGGCAAATTGCTGAAACTTTCCGTGCCGTAATTTAATTTTTTTAAAAGCTATGAAAAGTTTGAAAACTGAAAGAAATTGACTTTTTTTGAAAAATTTTCTTGAGATTTCGAACTTTTTTCCAAAGCAATCAATCACGTTGCGTTAGCTGCTTATAGAGACAAAATATCTAAGCGGCTTCGAAACGGCTTATCCTGTATTTGCCAGAAACTAATCTGCACGTCTTCTTACCTTCAATACTTGTCGAATGTTTTCTGAATTTTTCAAATTGGTTGATCCCTGTTCGCGAAATCGTCGTCGGAAATTTGCCAAAATGTTCAGAAATCTTTGAAACGTAAAGATATATAAAAATTTTCGTTTTCGATTTTTTTGGGGTAACTATAACTGTATATCAGATTTATTTTTAATCAGATAAATACACTAATTGAAATAGACAAAAATTATACAAGTTAAAATAAGCGAACTCTTCGGCAGAAAGGATTTGTTCTCCAGCTATTAGAAAAACACTAAAATTAAATAATTATCTTGAAGAAGTTTCTTTTTTGCCAAACCAGTCCATTAGCAAATTTCATGTTTTTTTATCATTAAAGTCATTCTGAATGAAAAATGGTTGGAAATCACCAACATAATAACTAATTAGACAAAATTTTGTAATCTGCAAGTGATTAATTGAATTTAAAAAATCTATAATTATACTAATTTGAGTGCACAAATCCGCACATTACATAGTAGGTACACATAGTCTAAAAGCTCGTTTCATTATTCTAAAATTTAATGATTTTTTGTAATTAATCATTTATCGTAGTTCCATAAAATACAAAGTTTTTTTTAGAAAAAAGTTTTTACAATAAATTACGAAGAAACGGTGCGGTCGATCTTTACGAAAAACTATTCAGCACGATCGCTAACTGAAAACTTTCCATCAGGTTTTGAATTTTCAAAATTGGTTCAGAAATGTCGAATTGTCGTTTTTTAAGAATCTTTAATTTTTTGTCGACGACATCAGAGCGGATCAACAAATTTAAATGATTTAAAAAACATTCTTCTTTATTCGATTCGTGTTGATAAATTGTCGTTTAAAGGGTTATCAATTTGGCGATGCAGTTTTTGAAAGAACTTATCGCCCCAATAGAATGATTCAAAAAATATATTACTTGTGTTGACGGTGTGAAACAATGATTAGTATCAAATTAACAATTTTTGTTATTATCTCATTGTTATTTCTTTTTGAGCAATTTTTATTGATCATTAATTACATTTATTCCTCGAATATTTAATTAATGTTTGGATACGTTAAGATTCCCACTCATATGTATTCCCAAAAATAACAATGATTTATATTGTGCTCATATAAGAAATACACAAATATAAACAACCAGATAATTAGCTCGTGCGAAGTTGTTAGATTTAGATTTATTAATCAGACGATATCAGATAGTGTCCATAAGAGATAAGAAAGTAAAATGATAGTGCCCATAAACCACTAATCACATTTTTTACTCGCACATCAGTATGAAAATTAACTAAATTTTAAACAACTAAAATTTTTCCGGGGCCTCTTGCATGGCCGCCGACGCCTAGCGCCGCTACTGTATATATATATATATATATATATATATATATATATATATGTATATATATATAATATATATATATATATATGTATATATATATATATATATATATATATATATATATATATACTCGTATATATATAATTCGTTAACTTTGAAAATGAATATTAAATTATTTTCAATTAATTTTCTTCAATATAGTTATTTAATTTTTTATATTTCAGCTGATGAAAATGGTTCCATGGCAGCAACAATACCGGATAAACCAATAGATTTAAAAAATTATGTAAAGCTATGCGAGCAACGAAGAAAATTTCCTGTTTTGTACAAAGTAGAATTTCAGGCAAGTGGAATAATATAATATACATATATAATATATATATATATATATATATATATATATATATGGGTGTGTGTATATATATATATATATATATAAGGTTGTCAAATATCTCATTTCCGCCTTTTTGTATTATAAACCAAGAGCAAAAAAGCGGAAGGGAGATATTTGACAACCTAATATAAGATAATTATATTAGGTCTGTCTAATTATTCATTTAGTTATTCTAAAAGGTTGATTTAGTAATAAATATAATAAGAATTTCACAATTAATTAAAATTTAGAACAAATTCAAAGTAATATTTATATATTTATTATAATATTTTTTTCTTATTTCAGACTGCAGTAAAAGTAGAAACTCATTCCTGCAGACATGCAACAAAAAAAACAAATTTGGACAAAAATCAAAATCAAAAATGTATACCATGTAAGTTATAAGATTTAATAATTTAATAATCCTGCATACGGATATAACCTATATTGGATGACTGTAGTAGGGTAGGGCGATGCACAAAGGTTCAATTTGACTTTGAGCAATTATATTTTGAAAACCAAACCAATGACGTTACAGCAAATACCATACATCAAACAAACAACAATCTGTTTATGTTCAGTAAAACTCCTAGCTAATTTATCACTGAATTTACTGATTTTACAAAATAATAGTTACAATAATTAAAATGCAAAATATAAATTTTATGGACACATTTTTTACAAAGATAGCACTGAATATAACTTTGATCAGGTATTTTGTCAGAAATATTCATCAGCAGAGTTGGAATAACTATTATTTTAATTTATGTCTTGTAACATGATTATTTTAACTTTACACCAACGTGTAAGCTTTCATAGTGGTTATATAAAAACATCTGTTGAATCTAAATAAAAATTAATAGTGCATCATATAAAACATTTAATTTACAAGAACCAACTAAATCGGTTAATCCGTACATCCGAAAACGTGGACGAAGAATTGCGCACATACAAAACACACATATACATTCATTTTTTCTAAGGTATGCCAAAATGTTCAGAAACCTCTAAAACGTGAAGATATGAAAACATTTTCATTTTCGATTTTTTACTTCACGTCAAACCTTCGACGCGAACGGAGTGTTTAAAATTTAAATTAAGTTAAATCAGTATATGTGATTTGAGTATTCTTTTGTTCAGAAACTAAAAAAGAGAAAAAAATAGTTAATATAGTGCTCCAACGAATAATTCGTAAAAGAAAAAATTATTTTCTTTGGGGATATGAATACTGAAGTTCTACTTATAGCGGAGATGATGAATGCGTTACTAGATACATTGATGTCTGACAGTAATTTCTAAAAAAGTCAACCTTTACAAAGTTTGACAGCAACAGTACAACATGCATGTGAGCCTCAATCTCAAGTAATAGAAGATACTAGTGACTTAAATACACAACACTCCTGGCAAGAAGTGCCGTGTAGCAAGAGACAAAAGTTGTCTTCGTTTTTAGACACTAATGGAATTAATGTTCAAAATAGATTCGAATCTTTAAATAAATAAATTGCAAAATAATACGAATACAGTCAATATTTCACAAACATTCGTTCAACGTCCACCACCTATATTTATCTACTACATTAAAGATTTAAAAAATATGTTTACAAAAATTAACAAAATAGTCACTACAAATAATTATTTTTATCGTACATTTGCCAATAAAGTAGTTAAAATATTGTGCTCAAGTTCGGATATTTTTCGAAAACTATCAAAATATTTACGGGGTACAAAAGTAGTTTATCACACGTATCAGCTAAATGAGGAAAGAGTACATAGAGTGTTAATTAGACATATTCATTTTACAACGAAAGTTAATGACATCAAGACTTCATTTGAGACTTTAGGGCATAAAGCTAGAAGTATTACTAACATCCGTGATCGTAATACAAACAAACCACTATATTTATTCCATCTGGATTTAGAGCCGACCAAGGATAATAAGGATGTGTACAGTGTAACAAAAATAATGAATAACATACTTAGAATCAGACCTCCAAAAAATAACGAAACTATCGTTCAATGTAAAAGATGTCAATTATACGGACACACAAACGGTTATTGTTTCAGACCATATGTGTGTTCAAGATGCGGTGATTCGCATAAAATGGCAGATTGCCAAAAATCAGATAATATTCCATATTTCTGCCACAATTGTGAACAGCCCGATGCTGCAAATTATCGTGGATGTTCAACGTACAAAAAATTATATAAGAGGCGATTTCCAATACTATTCATTGCACCTACACCAACTCCTGGTCAACCTATGAATAACGATAAGCTAATCCGAATAAATATAATGATCTCTACCCAAATCGAAATCAAAATAGAACTTTTACACAGGTAGTAAACAATGAAGGTAATAATACGGAATCAAACATGATGACTTATCTTACGCAGTTCTTAAATGAGTTCAAAATCATGTTCAATCAGCTAATTCAGCAAAATGGAATGGCACTAAATATATGGTTACAACATTAATAAATGAAGAAAATTACTGATGGCAAAGTTTATTAGAATCGCACTTTTTACCAATGGTCTAACGTAACATAAACTAGAACTGATAACATTCCTAAAACTAAACCACTATGTAATATTAATTAGCGAAACACATTTTACAAATTTTTCATACCTCTAAATACCAAATTACACAACGTACCAATGTAATCACCCTGATAATATGGCACGCGGAGGTTCAGCCATTATACTTAAGGATTCATTAGAACCTTATGCTCTTACAGATTTTAAATTCAACTATCTTCAAGCCACAATAATAAAAATAACTAGTGGTGTATGGCATCGTGCCTTAAGGCAAATTGCTGAAACTTCCCGCACCGTAACAAAATGTTCGAGGATTATTAAATGTTTTCAAATAAATTGTTATAAATACTGTAACATTGTCTAATATTTATAATAATTATATAAATTGAATCACAAAGTCAAAAATATTTATGCGCCCGAAAACGTGAACGAAAAAATGCGGACACACAAAACACACATACACACACATCAATTTTTTCTGAGGTATGTCAAAATGTTCAGAAACCTTCAAAACGTCGAAAAATGCAAAAATTTTCATTTTTGATTTGTTGCTCATTACTATAACTACCCTACGGGAAGTTAAAAATCAAGTCATATGATTTATCACTTTCAGCGGTTTATTGCCTTCCATGATATATTATATATTATAAAACAAAATGAATTGGAAGAGTTCTTTAATAATGTAGGTGATAGATTTGTAGTCGATGGTGATTATAATTGCGAGCATACTAGACGGGGCTCAAGACTTATTACAGCAAAAGGTAAAGAACTTTTGAAAGCAATAGACAGCAACAACTTTAGCATTTTATCATCAGGATCTTCGGCATATTGGCCAAGTGACCCCCATAAAATACCGGATCTTTTAGACTTTGTCATATACAATCAAATTAATGACAAATTTACAGATATCAAATCATACAACGACTTATCATTGGATCACTCCCCTATTGTGTTAACAGTTGGTGTCTCAACTATTTCCAGAAGTAAACCTATTCAACTACATAGCAAATTCACAAAATGGGATAATTTTCGGGAAGACCTAATTGAAAAAACAAATCTTAAAATTTCACACAAGGATGAAGCCGAAGTTGAAGCAGCAACTGAAACATTAATAAAGAATATCCAAACATCAGCACAAAAAGCTACTCCAGATATACCACAAATATATGTAAAGTGTGAGGTATCATCCAAAGTCAAAGTCCTAATACAGGATAAAAAACATGCGAGAGCAATATGGCAGCGTTACCATAGACCTGAGGATAAAAACAAATATAATAAGTTACGCAGAGAGCTTAAATATAATTAGAGCAGAATGAGAAATGAAGAATTTGAAAAATATATAAGACAACTATCAAGAACAGATCATTTAATATGGAAACTTATTAAAAACTCAAAGAAACCTGAATTTCCTGCGTCGCCAATTAGAGAGAGTATATATGATCCATGGGCTAAAAGCGATTCAGAGAAAGCCCAACTATTTGCAAAATGTTTTGAGTGCGTCTTCCAGCCATTTGATAATGCTCCAAGTCAAGAAATTGAAAAGATTAAGACAAATAGGATCTTTGCAACCAATAAAATGTATCCAATCAGAAGGAGTTTATCATCAAATCCAAATCCTCAACCCTAAAAAGTCCGCATTATATGACTTGATACTGGTAGAATTATTAAAGAATTATCAGGTAAAATAACATTGCTCATAGCATTCATATTCAACGCCATCACCAGAACAGGATAGTGGCCGCGTTGCTTCAAATCTGCACAAGTTATAATAATACCAAACCCGGAGAAAGATTTGTGCGTTATATTACTATAACATGAAATTTACCAACAACATGGTCGATATGTACGAGAAGATAGAGAACGAAAGACTACGACTTTTGCGATATAATCAATCACTGTAGTCAATAGTGCCTATGCCGTCGAAACTGGAACCTTTGACGTTCAACGATCATCATATGTATAAATCGTACCATATGTGCACGCTGCTTTGACTTACCAGCGCGCATATGAACGGTTGAGTTTATTTATCTTGTGAAAAGTTCAAATGATCAGAACACACATCTTAGCTCCTCGCTTGACCAAAATGCAATACATCGTCATGATCTTCCAGCGCGTGTGTTTAGACAACAATTAAACTTTAATAAGATTTTTTACTAAATTGCAGCCCACACGTTGCTGGATGTATTCAGTTGAGTGATAATAATGATATTTATTTCATGCATTTATGTTGGTTTTCGACCACGTTTTTGGACGCACGAATCAACCGATTTCAATGATTTCAAAAACATTCGATTTCTATTGATAAGGAGATGTGCTGATACATTTTTGGCAAAGGCAGTCCATCCGTTTCGGAGATACGGAGCAAAGAGTGCAAAAAATAGAAATCGAGTTTTTGAAAGAACGGAGCATCCGATTTGAATGATCTAAAAACATTTCATTTGTAATGACCAGGAGAAGTGGTGATGAGATTTTGATAAAGGCAGGTCTACAGTTTCGGAAATACCAAGCTAAATGTGCAAAAACTGACAGTTTTTGAGAGAACTAAGCATCCGATTTGAATGATTTGAAAAACTTTATGTTTGTTTTGACAGAATAATTGCTTTTGGGGAAAAAAATTATTTCAATTTTTTTTCCAATTTTTTTTTTCTCAAAAAAAATTTTTTGTATATCAAAAATAATTAAAATTTTAATTTTAATTCTGGTTAAAGTTCTAAAGCTCACTTATATACTTTAAATAAATAATTTGTTTAACTTTGTAATTCAGTTTATATAACTCTTATAAATATATGACAATGTTACAATTTTTATAATAATTAACTTAACAACTAGTTTATTTTATTACATGGGGAATGAAGTACA